ACTCTCATGTGTATTTTTCTTATAAAGAAATTATTGTACGATCAATCTTTGACTTTTTGATAGCAATCATTTCATTAATTTTTATCATTTTTTTTCCGGCTAAATAAAAAATCAATTACCCTTGATTTATTTTTATTTTTTTTATCTCAACATACACAATCTTGGACTTGCCTTTATTACCATTTGAAATCTTATGCTAAGTTAAGTAGTTGACAAATTAGTATGTGTCGAGCTAGCAAGTGAAGTGTGAGGAATTGTTTCATTTTGCAGAAGGAGCCATCACAGGGTTGAAAGTCAATGATAATATTCGGAGGTACTCATAAATATTTAGGTCCCGTTTGGTAGTCATTTTTTTCAAAATGCATTTTTCTCTCTTCTTTTCAACCATACATTCTTTATTAAAATAATATTACATGTAAATAAAAAAAAAAACTTTTCCTTATTTCTCCACCACACATTTCACATCAATTTATTATTCTAAAATACATTTTTACATAAAAACACCTATCAAACACCCCCTTAATTTTCTTCCACTTTTTCCATAGCGTGTATCTTTCAGCTATGTGACAGATTTTGTCTGATTGAACTATGTGCTGTATTACAAGAGAATTACTCATATTCCTCGAGTGGAAGCCTTTTTTACCTTCAAAGAAATTGCCTAATGTTTAACATAATGAGGTAGTTCCAGGTACAAACATGCCATTTTTCTCAGAATTAAGTTGCATTTGTGACATGATACGTTGATACAATTTACTTTTAGACATCCGAGATGACTTTTTCCAATGAATGTTGATATCTGCAAGTGATGAATGCGCTGTATTTTCTCATGAGTTTTAGGAAGGCATTTTGTGACATCAAATTTACAAATAAAATATCATCTTTCGCCATGTAATTAAAGGGATTGTTATGTTAATAGATATTTTTAAGTCGATCATATATTTCTATGAGTTTTGTTGTAATACTCCGAATTTTGTGCTCATTTAATTTTTAGAATAGCAATTTAACTTTTCAAAATTTAGTATGGCCAAAAAATAAATTATTTATGGTTGCCAAATTTTACATGGTTGATTTATTAAAAGTTTTTCCAAATAATTTGTTAATTAGGGGTTTGGGATAAATGTCCATTTTACACCTAATTACTAAAGTTAAACATTGTTTCTCCAACTTGGCCAAAAATTGATGAAATATATATGCATGAGGTGTTTTAATTTAAGCATGAGGTGGCTAACTAATGCATGAAGTGTTTTGGATTTAAGAAAATGAAACCATGAGGCCTACACGTGTTGAATTTCTTGAAGAATCACCCAAAATTAATCATTTTTTTCACCTATAAATAGATGTGTTGCTGCCTTTTATTTCCCTTGCATGAAAAACAATTTATCACTTGTTTAAAAAAGGGCAGAAAACGTGAGGGAAGAAGAGGACTAGCCTAGCATTTCTCAATTCATTTTCAACCAAAATTTCTTCAAGTTTTATTGTAAGATACTTTCTATACTTAAGTGGTATGATTTCATAGTAATATTTATGCTTAAGCTATGCATGAAAAACCATAATATGAATGTGGTGGACAAGTCCACAAAGTTAGATGTCTATTTATGCCTTAAAACAAGTCTGAAGGGTACCGGCAAGCCAGAATGTGCAAGTATGTGTTTGATTGCATTCTTGTGTAGTATTAACATAATAAAATCCAAGCATGGTATCTTATTGAGTATTCTTCATACTCATAGTGTTCTATACTAAATTTTCAGATTCATAATTGTGGAGTTGGTGGAAGTCAGTCGGCAAAATCGATGATGGATCAATGACAAAATTATTTTACATCGAAGTTTCTGTTTTGTATGTTTTGTTTGACTACTTTCCACATGTTTTGCTTTTGTTATTATATAAAAACATGTATAAGACATGATGTAATATGATACTGGAAGTAAATTATGTAATTATATCTATCATGTTATGTTAAGAGACGTTTTTTTTGCTTTTACTTTCCCTTGCAAATGATAAAAAAGCAGAAATGGGACAGTTTTTGGATCAACTTCAACACGTTATTTTTGACTCCATAAACGTCCATTTGAGACTCTAAAAATATTACTGCGTTCCTCATTGATTTGTCTTAATATGGGCACAAGAATCACTTAATTTGGATATCTGTAGCCTTAGATATGAATTTCTAAACATTGAAGGGTCAAATCTGAAATTTCTGTTCAATACCTCACTGTTTTCAGTAAAACGCCCATATTATATGATCTTGGAAATTTTTTATATTTTAACATAGAAAACTACTTGAAAATATCTTTCTAATGTCGTAAATTTCATAGAAAACAGAGTTGGGATGAATTTTATAAAAATAGTCGAAGTTGCTGACCCAACTAACCGTTGCAGTGCAGAGTCCGTATATGTAAAGTATAATTTCTTGTCGACATGCGCTTCTGCGGGCCATTAAAATTTATGAGAGACATTTTACCAAGTTGAAAATAAGTTTCTAACATATAATACTTCTATTTAAGATTATTTACATGTACCAAAGGCAGAAGCTATTATGTTTAGTACGTGACACTGGAAACTTAAGTTCGGGGCGTCACATTTGTAAATGGTATTAAATGGAATCAATATATATTGCTTGCACATGGAATATATGATTCTTGTTATAGATAAATGTCTATTTCTGTGTATTGAGAAATATTATTGCTTGATTTTCTCTACAATGTATTTGACTAAAAAATGTGAGGATGTGTTCTAAATATAAAAGCATCACTCTCCCCATTAATACCAATTGATAAGTCCATAAGTTTTGTACTTGTTAGGGGACAAAAAAGGTAACTTATGCTTACCAAACTCAAGTTTCCCACCTTCTACATTGATTTTTGCTGTCATTATTCGTAATGTTAATGATGAGCTGATTCTAGATAGTGGCATGAGGGGTTTGGTATATGATTTATAAGCCGAATTCTTATTGCAGCTGGGGATGTTGGACTTCGTAGCCTATACAGCTTGCCATGGCTGACTCAGAAAATCAAATTTCTTCTTTGGTAGCTGGTTATTGAAACTATTTTGGTGGTGGAAAAATGCCAACTGTACGGCCAAACAAACGCTGACCTACTGACATTTTCCATATTTTATTTTATTTTATTTTATTTTTACTCTGTCACTCTACCTTCTCCGTTGACTTAAAAAATAATTTTATCGTTATGCAAAGTATTTTTGAATAATCTTTTATTTTCTAAAGTTTGTTATTGTATGTGCAAACCTTAATCTCAATGCTGCATTTGAGGGGAACTCTGTTTCCATTTTCTATTATTATTTATTTATTTTATGTTTCATCTTTGTTGTATTCCCCATGTAGCTCATCCATGGCTCGTTCAAGCTTATCGAATTAGATAAAGGAGTTAAGCTAATAAAAGATTGATGGATGAAATAACATACAAATAACAAAGTTAATCAAACTGAGCTCATTTTTAACTAAGCAAAAATAACTTGTTTGAGATTGGCTTAGAGATAAACAAGTCAATTTTATGATGTACTAAAGGCTCAACGGGTGAACTCGAACTTGGATCAATTCATGTGTGCTTCTATCCTTGTCACACTAGATGTTTTGTTTATTTATGTTTCAATTTTGTTGATAATTATCTCTTTTATGGTGGGTTTTTTCATAATTAATTCTGGTTTACGTTTTCCTCATTTGTCCTTTTTCCTATTGGCAAATTTTCATATTATCTATCCTTTGGGTTGAGTCAATGTTGGATGAGGAAAATTTTACATTGGAAGAGCTTCTAGATGAAGAAGAGATAATCTGAGAATGCAAATCACTAAATAGTCGCCTCATAAATTTGTATGGCATCTTTACTCTTCAGCTGCACGTTTTTGTTTATTAGTCTTGGCATCTATGTTATAAGTATTTTTTTTAATGAGTCATGGTTCCTTGGTAATCACACCTTTACTATGACCTACTGGCTACATCATTTATGAATCTTCAGATGATGTAGATAGCAAATGAATGTTCAGACTTCAAATTGTTTGAGCTTTCAAATCAAATTTATTTTTCCCCAAAATTGGTCTAATAAACATGAGGTATTTACTCGATTTTCTTGGTTGTTGATTAGTTACTGCAATAGGATAAGAAATCATGATCTATGTCCAAGATGAAGTATGGACACTGGATTAAACAAAAAAAAGTTGGAACTACTACATGTTCTTTGATTTCCAGTAGCAATCTTGAAACTCTCACCCAACGATCTTTCATTGCTTCTAGGTATGAGGTTAAGTAATCATTTTGAAACTATGTTTGATATCTAGGTCTTCGGGGCTTCAAGTCAAACATTAAGAAAATTATAGTTTGATTTGGTTCTTTTGCTAGGCTTAGATGACTTTATTCTGTCTATCTTTCTACTCGAATATTGTTTAGAAAATACAAATTATTTGACTTCATTGAGCCAAATAAATATTTTGGAACAGTCCAGCTAGTCTTTGTAATTCAAACAGCTTACTGCAAAATTATATAACTCTACTGTTTGTTGTCAAATTTCAATATGCGAAAATCAAGTTTATGGTGCTATGTAATTTATCTTTCCCTAACGTATTACATGTGTAAGAGTTATACAGATTGGTGATATTGGATGGGTTTCTTTACAGTTATTTTCCCTTCTTTGTGTTATAGACATCTATGCAGAATTTATGTAAATCAAGTTTAACAGCTGTGGACTATAATTGTATTGCACACTCTTTTCCTTGACTATCAATTGACCTTGTAAACTTCTAAAGGATTTTGGGGTAAAGGGGTTGAGGGGTGCGTTTTAGATTAGAGAAGACAGGGAGGTGTATGAAACCTTTTTAATCTTCTTTATCGTTATAGTGACAATCTGTCACGTCAAGTAGTAGTAACTCTTACATTGAAGGTGACTCAAATCTCAAACTCATGTTGAACCACTATAACTCTGTGGATTTGTTTTGTGTGTTTTTTTATAGCTCTTTGAGTTAGGGATTATAAATTGGACCCATAATAACTGTTGATTTCATTGCTTATATACAATTAAAGCAATTGATAAGAATTTCTGGATTCACGTACTTATTTGCCAAGACATTAACTATAATTAGATAATTTTTTATATTCATGATAACCCGAATGAACTCAAAAATAAAGGCTGTAAGCTTCTCTTGGAGTGCATCCCAGTTGCTCACTTAAGCTTCACTTATTGCTTTGGTGGATGTTATGCTGCTTGTTGCTTTCATGTGGAAGTCTGAGTCACATTGTGAGCAAAATCCAAAAGAAAGCATGCATAATACAAAAATCAAAATCATACTTTTGTTGATTGACCTTCCCCATGTTGAACTCTGTTACTTTGGCATAACACATGTTTTCTCCACTTGGTTTTGAGCCTATGATATCAAAAATGGAAATATAAATTGTGTGTTTCGTGAACAAATATGGATGCCAAAGTGAAATCCATGATCAAGCTCATTGAAAAAGTTGCTAATTCTCTGCAAGAAAGGCTGAAATGTACCATAAAAAATTGCCCCGAGTTGATGAGGTTAAAACAAGAACGTTTTGCAATAATATTATGTAATTCAATAGCAATTTTTGAGAATATGAATCTTTTTAAAAGTACCCTCATGCACCTTTACAAGAATAAATGACTACAAACGTGTGCACATGCATGTGTGGAAGATGAATTTCTCGAAAATTTACATATACTTATTTTTAACATCAACCAACCACCGTGCATTCAACCACCTAGTATTTGGAAAAGAACTTAACGCCATGTATAAAAAAATAAAGAAGGATATATGAATATTCCTACAAAGAATTACGATGAAGTTTGGTTATTATATATTTTTTTTTTCATTAACCATGAATATATGAATATATTTTTTTTCACTAACGCCAAAGTACATTTTAGGAAATCAAACAATTACACTGATCAAAGAAGCCATAAGTCAGGGGTAATCGTTTTTCTCTCATGGCCCTCCCCAAACCCTCATGTTACGATCTAATCCCTTTTCTTTTAATTATAATTTGATGCAGAACAACTCCACGACCATCTCCTCAGAGTGTAGTCTGCCAAACTTGCAATATGACCATAGTATTATGATATCATATTCATCTCCAAATTGTGTTCTACACAAATAATCTCTTCTTAGATGAAGAAGATAAATTACATCTCAATCAAACAACAACTTCCATCCACCTCTATCATATCTTTAGTGAGTTTCGATATCTGTATTGTGCATAGACTAATCAAACAACAATCAGAATGAGGAACTTACTTGTCCGTAGCTGCTGAATATACGAAGCAAGTAAATTGTATCAATATGGATTGTAAAAGATTGATAGAGTTATGCAAGCCCATTAATCTTCGCTTACATTGTGATCGATGTCAAAAACATAAATTGTTCTTCCAATATTATCTTCTCTTTCAGCTCTAAAAGTTCTACCTCTCATTCTCCTCCTGCCTTGGTTGTTGTGATTACTCTGGGAATACACAAACTTAAATTTTATGAGTCGTTCGAACAATAAACTAAAGTGGAAGAACAAGTATGATTGAAGATTTCAAATAAACCTCACTTCTACTAATTGAACTTACAAAAGAACCTTCCCTTTTTAATCTCATTGCATGTAATTTCTATCTATTCTTTCATTTCATCCCCCATTTCACATCACGTAGAAAGTCTCTCTCTCTCAATTCATAGAAGATGAGAGCTGAAGAGAATTTCTTCTATTAAGAATGTCACTATAGACAATAGCCTCCAGTAGGCATTATCCTCAATATTTACAGCTATGCTGTAGACATGTAAAGGACTGAAGAAAACACTCTGATATATTTTTGCTTCAAATGCAGCTTAATTTCATATAATATTCGTTGGGTAAGACAGCTTAATCTCTGGAATGTCACATAGCCATCTTGCATCTTATTAGAAAATCCACAAGTTAAGTATATTGCTTCGATTACATATACAAGGCTATACTGAATGTTCCCACAACACGATAATAATCTCTACCCTCTGAAGCTCCAAAGAAGCATACAAATCTCATTACTGCATTTTTTTTTTTTTAGAAAAAAAAAGAACAATTTCTGGTTTTCCTTTTTGACAGATGCCTGTAAAAGGATCCCAGCATCAGAATTCTTAAAACTCGTCCAAATGGTGCATAAAATTAAAATGAAGAGTACATGATGCCAAATTTACCATAAAAGTAATGTTTAAAAAATTGATCAGAAATTGCATAATCAGAGGAAATGAATTTGAACAGTACCATTCTATAAAATATTCCATCTTCTTCAACGATCCAACCCGTTTCATTACATAGAGCTTTAAGAACCTCTTTGTTATCATAGTGCTTGGGGAGCTTGTAACTACCGTACATCCTCAAGCCGACGAAGATCTGAGCAACGATTGCCCTCCGCCGCCTCTCTCCCCGCTTGTTGGTCTCTCTCTCCTTCCATGTTGGTAGTCTTATCTCCGAAAATGAGGGAATGGGGTTGTGCGTGAAAAGACAAATTAGGGTAAATTATTGTTTGAGAAGAGAGTGATCAAAATTTTCTAGCATTCATGCGTGATGAGTGAGAATTAGAAGAGAAACGAGGGAGTGGTTTTTCTGTGCTTGAGGGAGAAAATAAAAGGAAAAAAATTATAACTAAAAAAAAGGTGTTGAAATGATTCTGATTTTGTTGGAGAGCTGTCAATGGAAGGAAGAAGTAGTGAAAAATCATTCTAGGGCTTGTGTATTTTTGTAAAATAAATTAATTTTTTAATTATATTTTATTGTGAGTTGGATCTTTTGATGGACTGGATTCACTTTATTTTGGGTTAGACCCATTAAATTGCTATAATAAATAATGGCAACATGCAATGTACTTTGTTAAAAGATTAATGGTGACGCTCAAATACGCGTTGCTAAAATATTTAACGACAAAATCCAATGAAAGTTTCGAAAAAATTAATGACAATATTCATATGTGCATTGTTAAAACATTTAACGGCAACACTTTGCTAAAATATTAATGACAACATTCAAATGTATGTTGCCAAAATATCTAACGGCAATGCGCATTGCCTATTGCTAAGACATTAACAGCCATGCGCTAATACACCTTTTTGCAACGTTTGGGGGTCCATTTTTGTAAAAAAAAAAAAAAAAAAAAATTTTTTTTTTTTTTTTTTTTTTTTTTTTTTTTACAAAAATGGACCCCCAAACGTTGCAAAAAGGTGTATTAGCAACATTCGTTAAAAAAACATTGTCAAAACTCAATTTAGCGAATCAATGGTAACATACACTTGCTGAATGTTGCGATAAACCTTTTTTAACAACATGCAATTAATGGACGTTGTCTTTCACGTGTTGCAAAAGGCCTTTTTTCATATAGTGAATGTTCACAGAAATAAAATATAATGAATAAAAAATTTATAGAAAAATAAACTCGAAGTAAATTAAATTGAATTTTAAACGAAAACTCATTAACTCCGTTCATTGGACTTCACAAGAGCCCAGTTAACACTCCAAAACTCATCATCTTCCCAATACATTGTCTCTAACTCTCTCTCTCTGCAAATTTTGCTGCTGCCAATGCAAAGTCAGAGAAGCAAGACTCTCCTTCCGCCATCTTCATCCCTTTGCTGTCGTGTCCGAGTGTAAAATGAGATATCCGATTCATATCCTGTATCAGTGTTCATGTCATGTCGTGTTGACATTGATGCTTCTTTAGAGAGTCCGAGCAACACAGACCAAAATATAATTTTGTACGGCAAAAAGAAATAGATTCTTCATCTTTTATTGTCACTGCGTACTTATAGCCAGCACAGTGAATGTCGGCAAAGAAGCTAGTGAATCTTCTATGTCTCCGAAGTCTAGAATGACAACAATATCAAAGGTGCTCGAGGAAATATGCTTTCTCAATGGTGAAATGTGCCAAAAGTGAAAGATAAAAATTACTTTTTAGTTACTGTGATTTTGATAATCACACGATGGAGTTTTTCTACAAGCGTAATGGCTATCTTACTGATAGACAAATTAATTCTTTCAGAGAGAACCATTTCTCTTCAGACCATTCACAATCCAATAATCGCGCCATTGCATCTACTCCACTAATTACCCAAGAACATTACAAGAAATTTTATTTTCAAACTACCTAACATATTTCAGAGAGAATGCATTCACAACTAATGCATATTTAACTATTTAACTCTACACATCATTGCTAGATAGTAAATCTCCTCATGAAGTATTGTTCAAAAATCACCAGCATATCCCAATCTTAGTATCTTTAGATGTCTTACTTTTCTTTATAATGCTCATATAAAGCATATGTTTGATCGGAGTGACAAATTTGATATTCCTATGGTCAAAAGGGATGCTACATATACGACATAGAGATTTACACCGTTTATATGTCGTGATGTTATTTTCAGTGAGAGAATTTTTCCATTTCAAGATGTATCTTTCCCAACCACTTTTCACGTGTAGTTCCACTATCAATTGAAAGTCACTTCAAATTTGATTTAGAACCCAATAGAAAAAATAACCTATTTTCGGTAACTTGAAAGGCATATGTTGATGTCAAAATTAGCAAGGATAATTTTGAACCAACTTTAAGAAAAAAAGGCGATTGATGCTTAGAAAAGATCACAAAGATGTCATTTTAGTGTGATTGTGTCATAAGTCGTTATATGTATTCGCTCTACTTTTACAAGGGTCCTATTCAACTATTTATACATAGTTTCAGCCGAAATTACATCAAATCAACAACAGTGCTGAGCTCGGAACTCAGGTCGCCAAATTCTCTAGCGATTGGTCGATAAAGCCGATGGTTATGTGTCAATGTATTACCCAAGTAATGAAGACCTGTAAGGGGCTGGAGTTCGAGGACTTGGAATTGGTTGTTTCGAGCGGCGATGACGTCACCTGTGGCAAGTGTATCTGATTGATAGGGTGATGTGACAAAGGGTAATCATGATGTTTTAACTGAGGTGGGGTTAGCGAGCTGTTTATACTAGATCGAAGTTCGGATGTCAACAGTTACCCCTCAGGTCAACTCTACCGTATGGAGGGCTAACCTCAGTGATGCTTTCTCCAAGAAGTACATTTATTGCTGTGACAAGTGTCATCATTTGAGGTGGATGAGCTGTACGCCATTTATAAGTATCTTCTTCAGCAAGCTTGGCCAAAACTACGTCATTTTGTCTCCCAGACTTTTGGACCGTTGATATTTTCCTTCTATTTCTGGATGAACAGCTCAGATCGCACCCTCTCATCTTCCCTTTCTTTAAATTCATTTTTGGTCGATCATTTCTCTTCCTAGTTCGCTGGTTTTTCTTTCTCAAATTTTTGGACGATTTCCTAAGCTCATATTCCCATATTCGAGTGAGGTCGTTTTCCCAGTTCGTCTCCCAGGTATCCTTCTGTTCTTATCTGCTGCCTCCTTTCAGTTTGTGCTTCTTTTCCTAGTTTATACATTGTTCGGACGAGTCTAGAGTTCATTCCTGAGGCAACCAGCAGGAAGAGTCACTCTCCTTCTCGACGAGTTCGTCTTCTAGTTGTAGGGAAGTTTTTACCCCCATTCCTATTTTCGTAATTAACCTGACTGACTTAGGGCGTCCTGTGATGGACTTAGGACGTGAGGGTTCCAAGGGAGCAGGTAGATCCAGTAAGGATGTTGATGAGAGTAATTCTGGGGAGTGGGTGGCGAGTTCATAGAGGTCGATTGTGACAGGGGATGTGTTAGCCAGCTGGCGAGCTAAATACGCCATTCCTAGTTCAGTAGTTATGATAATACCAGAGCCATCTAACCGAGATGACACTCCTCTTGAGGGATGTGTTGCTCTGAACTCGGCTATCCTTCATGCTGGCCTTAGGCTTCATTTTCCTAGGGTGATTCATAAATTCCTTTCTTTTTGGGGCATAGCTCCCACGCAGTTATGCCCTAACGGGTGGCAAACCTTAATAGCCACCCTTATTCTGTGGAAACAAATGGGGAATCCCGAGCTAAGTGTCCAGCAGTTCGATTCTCTGTTTACTTTTAAGGAGGATGGGAAGAACTCGGGCTCGTGATACACAAGCGTTAGGCTCAGGACTGGAGGTTCTCTAGTGTTAGACACCCCTTCCTCAATTAAGAAATGGAAGGAATAATGGTTTTATATACAGGGGAGTGGTAGTTTCATTCTGCCGAGGTGAATAGGAAGGACGTGGTTCCCAGGCTCTATCATTCGTTATGTAAGTGTCTTTTTTAGGTTTTAGTCTTTTAGCAAGGCGTATGTTTGACGAAGTACTGACCTCGGTATTTTTCTTTGTGCAGATTACAAGAAGGAGACGTTAACTAAAGATACACAGAGACGAGCTAAGGTAATAAGATCATTACCTAAAAAGTAAAGGTCCTGTAAGTTTGTAATCTCAGATTCGAACTTATACCGGGCCAGATTGCTGCAAGTACGAGCTTCAAGTTCGGCTCCATCCAGTTCAGGTAATATTTTGATCTTCATTCGCAGTTTGTGATTTGTTTATGTATATACATTTTTTTTAGCGTTTCACTATTTCCTTAGATCATCAGGAAGAAATGCAGGGCTACAAGGCAACTAAGGCACGGCTGCGACTAAGAGAAAGAAGAGAGAAGTCTCAGAACGGATGGAGAGCCGTTCTAAAGAGGTGGAGGATGAGGTTCCATTGAAGAGGAACTGATCTACGGCCCCGGCATCACTGAGAGTTCCTGAGGTGGTGCCTTTGCCGAGCCCGAGCCTGTCGTCCCCTTCGTTGCCATCCCCAATTGCCCTTTCTGCTGTCGGGACCAGTTTTGCGAACTTGCAGGATTGGTGTCCAGATTTACAGAGATCGAGCTGGGAAAGTCTGGTGGGACACGGACCAGAAATATTTTTGGACTATCTCCGAGCTCCTTTTCCTTCCAGGGGAATGACTGCCGCACTCACTTCACCTTTGAGGGAGTCGACCAATCTACTTGCCCAGAGCTGGGGTGAGATAGAGCAGCGCTATTTGATCGAGATGCCCATTGGTAAGGCTTTGGTCACTGCTTAGCTCCATGGCCACCGATCAGTTTTATATATGATGGCAGTGGCAGATAAGGTATATATCTTACTTGATTTTTGATTAATTTTATAACTATTTTAATGACTTACTTAATTTTTGATTTTTGAAAAACAGGTGAAGTCCGAGCTGGACAAACTCATAGAGGCAAAAGATCAGGCCTTCAATCTGTACAATACCATGGAGGTTGAAAAAGCCCAGTTCGCTCTGAGGGAGAAGGAATATGAAGAGAAGCTAAACTAGATGGGGATCGAGCTGAACTCTAGGCTTGATGTCGAGGAGAGATTGATGGAGGAGATCAAGGCGTTGAAGGCCTCGGAGGAAGAGGTCAGAGCTCGGGCAAAAGAGGAGTGCGGCAAAGTCAGAGAGGCCATCCAGAAGGCATAAGAGGCCAATGAAAGGGTGAGGCAAGCCACATAAAGGGCTAAAGAGGCTAAGGCCAAGATTGATAGAGCGGTGGAGGCCTGGATTAAGTCCTCCGTCTACATGGTAGCCCTGGAGGAGTTGGTGGGGCACATCAAGAATGAGAGGCCTGATCTTGATATGGCCTTTATGGATGAGGCACTAGAGGGACAGAAGGAGGAGTTGCGGAGGTTGTCGGAGTCTGCTGGACTTCGGGTATTACTGGCAGCTCAGGATGTTAAAGATACTACCCCAGCC